ATTTTTTTGTTGTATTCTGTATAGTAATAAAGTTTTCTTCATTTCATCAATTTTAGACAGGTATCAGATCATCAAACAATACTGTCCTCTCAGACCAAAAACCTGACAATATATTTTACTCACTCATCACAGACCAGACACTTAGCCTCCTGCTCTTTCTCTTCTCCTTCCCCTTCTGCAGCGGTCTCACTTTCTTCTGTGGCTGTCTCAGCAGCGCCCCCTGTCTCCATGGGTGTTTCTGCACCCTCCTGAGCACCTGTCTCCTGGCCTGTGGGAGCTGGGGTGAAACACATTATTACTCCGTGAAGGAGGTCAGGACCTCCGGACGGAGTGTTGTAATCGGCTGATTTTTCATGTTCGCAGTCAAAACACTGGGTTCTCTTTGTGTAATCGGCACGCAATTTTATACGCCGTCTGCGGGCATGCCCGTGTTGATGCACGAATGTGTATTTTTGCCGTTGCTGCTTTCGCGGTCAATGTAATATCGCAGACGCACCCCTACAATTACGAGGCGAATTGGAATGGTCCAGAAAAACGCGTTGTTTGGAATAGCAGTGGGGTTCAAAAAAGTTCATGCAGATACGGGGTGGTTTTTATAAGTGGTTCCAGATGTTTTTGCCCATGGTTAAGAGATGCCAAGTTTTTTGGAAGATGTTCGCAGCCAAAACGCATTCTTCCGTACGTCGCATTTCTGTGTAATTTCGCATGTGGTGTTGCATTATGTCCGGGATGATGCACGTCTTTTTATTTTTACCGTAGCTGTTTTGATATTGGAGTAAATGCTTATTTTCGAAACATCCCCATTTCTTTGAAATGGTTTCGCCGTTTATGCAACTGTTACTGCGCTAATGACGACCAGTCGCGCTGTCCTGATACACCGCGAATGTGCGAGTGTTCCCTGTAGACAGTCCAGGGAGTCATTTTTTTCGCACATTCCAGGAGCCAAACCAAAATACGTTCATGAACCGAGTCCAAAAAACCGAAACGTGAAAATCGGATGATCGGACCTGATGTACATTTCTCTTTCTATAGATTGTACACACAATACACACATCTTTAGATAATCTGGCCATGGCAGGTTAAAAAAAAGTAACCCTGAATCATACTAGATTA